TTTAAATTATTATAAGATACCACATAGCTTGAGTATCAAGAAGAGTGATACAAACTGTGAAAGTAAAGAACGTGAACCGTGAAATGATACTCACATAATTGGAGTATGTTTTAGCTTGATTTTATACTACTTGTTTGATTCTGGTAACGAAAAGCTCTAAAATCTATGAAACTTATACCTTTTCGTCTATTTTTCTTGGATGGTGCACAATAGAATTTCATAATAAGCATCCTACTGGATAGAGCACGTCTTTCTCTACAATCCTATATATGTCCCATTCTGGGGTCAAAAATGACTCTGAAACTTGTCATCGCCTTTATCGTTTCTCATTATGGCACTCTGTAAAAAAAAAAGGTGTCATACTGAACCTTTTAGTGTTCTAGATTTGGGTACCATTTTCTGAAGCTTTTATGGTTCTAGCAAAATATGGTTCTATCTGGAACTTCTTTTTTCTCTTTCCAAAATGATTCTACCCTGATAAAAGCAGTCAATTCAACACACTTGGTCTACTATTACTGATTAATTCTATGTCTGATCCCTTATTTCTATCCTCAATTCCATAATTCTATATCTAAATCCTTATTTCTCTCCTTAATCCCTTAATCCAATATCTAACCTCTTAATCCTATATCTAATTGTCTAATTCTATATTTAACCGCTTATTCCTATCCTTAATCCCTTCATCCTATATCCAATCCCTTAACCTTATTCTTAACCCCTTAAATCTACATCTAACTTCTTAACCTTATCCATAGTCCCTTAAATCTATATCTAACACCTGAACTCTATCCTTAAGCACTAAATTCTATAGGTTGCATAGATGGGTAGATTTACCGTGAATAGAGTAAAAGCAAGCACTTTCTCCTCTATATACACGAAAAAACCTGTCGCTGTTACTAGATGTTGAGAAGATTCTAAATAAAAAGCATTATTTTATATCGTATGATTGAACTTACTAATGAATTGATCATTCACATAGACCTAAATAGATAACAACAGTAATTTCTTTTATAACACTCAACTTACCATTGAATTGATTATTGATATGTACCTAAATAAAGAAAACAGTTCATTCATTTTATAAGTTAATACTTGCCTTTGAATCGATGAGTAAGATATGTCTAAACAGATAAAAACAGTAGTTTCTTTTATAATATTAAACTTATCATTGAACTAATATCGGCACCAGAAGTCAGTGCACTCGAATTTTTTTTGAATAACTTTCGATAGGAATAAGTTAGAGGTCTGCAATTTTTGAGCATTTGATAGCCAAGACCCAGACGCATATTTTCATAAGCAAACTCTTTTCTGAAAAGAAATCTCCAAACCGATTTTTTAGAGGATCTCTGAAAAACTACGATAGATTTGTGAAAACTGCCATAGGAGTCTATTGATTTTTTTACATGAGAAGATATCTCAGAGTGTTCCCTGCAAAACTTGATCTAAACAAAAGTTCTATCTTGTAAGGTTTATGCAAATCAGGCTGTTTTCCCGAAGTTGTAGGACTCGCTTTTCTTTAGGTGTGGCACTATTGTAAACACGTGAAAACATAGGTTATCGACTATGCTGAACATCATGGTAATGTTTTTTTTCGTGCTTAGACTAACATTTTTTTATTACTCATATATGTTCATTATCAATAGATAGTATTTCCATATGAAACAAATGCTCTTATGACAATCTATGCACTCTTTTCGCAAGAATTCTATGAAAGACATGGAAAAAAAAATTATACTTAAAAAGCAGTTTAATCATCAACTTCAACATCATTTAATGTATCGTCGTCAACATCATCTTCACTTTCGATCAAATCATTTTCTATTTCTTCGACATATTTGTCTGCAATTTTAAATATTTCTTCTTGTTTATAGATATGTGCAAAATAGGCAGAAGCATGTTCAGAACCACATGCTACTAATCATTCATTACAAAATCGTTCAATATCGTCCAAACGAAAACGTACATTTTGTTGTCAAACGTAATTTTTTTGAACTTACCCAACCAAATTAATAGGATTCAAGACACAATGCTTCACTGGTATTCTAACAATTCCAGTATTATATTCACTTGCTACTTTATCAACAATAAATTCCTTTGGTGGTAAATGAGTAAAGACTAATTACATTAACTCAGCTTTTGCCATGTAAGGTTCATATTTGATTTTTTGAGCAGTTAGGCAATCAGCAATTAATTGTTTTTTCCAAGCACATTTAGATGGTTCAGATTCGGGAGTAAGCATGTTATGTCATTTGGCATTATCTATAATAATAGCAATTTTAGTCATTCTGTCATCTTCAGATTGTAAAGTACCAGCCATACTGTCCATCCATGCGACAAAATGATTACTGTCCATACTATATACTTCGTCACACTTGAAAATATCTAAGGAACGAAGATAAAAGCCGTTCAGACTAAGAAGAGCACTGATTGCTAAACGTTGATCTATAAAAATCGGAACAAAAACTTAGTTTAATAGGAAAATGATGATAAAACCTTTGATCTTCACCTTTTCCTTCACTATTTCGAAGACGACCATATCCTTGATCATCAAATCATACAACTGTTTTTTCTTCATTTTTACTTAGCCATGTTTCATCATGATAATATAATATAGAATTATTAGATTGTAATTGATCAATTTTTCTAAAGTATATAGTACATTGAGCTTGAAAAGTTATTGAATCCATCAAAACTTCTGCTTGTTTTGGCTTTCTATATTTGAAACCAAGTGCCTTCATTTCTCGACATAATGATGTTATTGACTGTATTGGAAATTCAGGATATTGACTTAATAGAGTTGATAATAAATTTTCAACAGTAGGATACATTTCATCTTTCAATAATTGATGAAACGTTAATCTAATTGTAGCTTGTTCAAAATTTGTTAACTGTACTTTTGGACGATCTGAACGTTTGGCTGGTGGCACTGGCGTTAGTAATAAGGAGGTATTTGACGAAAGAGTAAATCTAACAAATTCTTCTTGGTCTTCCTTCAATTGTTTCATTTCATTTTTTAACACAAAAACTGATCTTCTCGAAATACCAAGTATTGCCACAAGACGGTCAGTAACATTATTAAAAGGTATTGATGGATCATTCTTTTCTTTTTCAATGAAATCAATAATACAAAATACCGATTGCTTAAACTCCAACGAAAATACTTTCGGCATTATCAAATAATGTTGCGTTTTATGATCTAAATAAGAAGGAAACAAAATATGATATATATTGAGTTTCTTGAATATGTGAAAAACAGAAATAGATAACAAGTCAACAACGATGACTAACAGAAAAAGAGAATAGAAAGATGAGTAAGAACAACTAACTACTACTGAAGAAGGACAGAAATGATCACATCTACATATATGGGAAGTGGTTGGAATATCCCACAAAATAAAATCAACGTATATCACAGAAAAAGAGAGAAATATGTCAAGTAAATAAAGAGAAAGAAACAAACAATATCGGAAAGTTTCAATACATGTAATAGTGACAAGGGAAAACCTCCAGTTACTCGATACCACGTTACAACTAAGAAAAATCTGATACCTAAAATAATAAATTAAGATACGATCTAAAAAGAACAACTCTCACTAGTATCTGGGTACAACTACCAATACACTGATGCCACACCAGATATTTCACCCCTCTCTTTGACATAAGAAAAAATCTTTTTCCATGTCTTTCATTGAATTCACGCGAAAAGAGTGCATAGATTGTCATAAGAGCATTTGTTTCATATGAAAATACTATCTATTGATAATGAACATATATGATTAATAAAAAAAAATGTTATTCTAAACACGAAAAAAAAACATTGCCATGATGTTCAGCATAACCGATAACCTATGTTTTCCCGTGTTTACAATAGTGCCACATCTAAAGAAAAGCGAGTCCTACGACTTCGGGAAAACGGCCCGGTTTGCATAAACCTTACAAGATAGAACTTTTGTTTAGATCTAGTTTTGCAGGAAATACTCTGAGATATCTTCTCATGTAAAAAAATCAATAGACTCATATGGCAGTTTTCACAAATCTATCGTAGTTTTCCAGAGATTCTCTAAAAAATCGGTTTGGAGATTTCTTTTCAGAAAAGAGTTTACTTCTGAATATATGCGCCTGGTTCTTGGCTATCAAATGCTGAGAACCGCAGATCTCTAACTTGTTCCTATCGAAAGTTATTCACAAAACATCCGAGTGCACTGACTTCTGGCGCCGATATTAGTTCTTGGTATGCACTTAGATGAAGAACAATAATTTGTTTTATAAGTCACAACTGATTATTGGATTGATTATTGACACATACCTAAACACAAAAATATTGATTTAATTTATTAGATCAAAATTACATTTTAATTCATGATTCAGATGCACCTAAATGAACAAAAGTTCATTCATTTAAAAAGATAAAACGTAGTATAGAATCGATTCAGACTCAGATACTTTTTGTTTGAAATTGTATTCGCAGATTGATTCACAGTATTAGTTAACATTATAAACACATTCATCTCTCAGTGCTTCACGTTGAATGAGCAAATGGAACTTGTCGTATATTGTTTTCCATTCTTCATTTTTGTCGGTAACATAAGATAATTAAAAGGTTTTGAAGTAGACACTCGCATCACGATGACCAATACATAAGTCTATCCCAATACGAATAACACTCTCTTGTGAAAGTACTGAACATAGATGAAATTTGAAGAAAAAATTCACTGCATTGAAGCTTCTCATATACAGTAAAACCTGATAAGAATAGCAAAAAGGATAAACAAAGACAACTTGTCGATAAGAAAATACTCCTATTCCAGCTAGAAAAAAGCATTCCATTGATTTCCTTTAGTCGTTGAACCCGATGACAATTCTCTCTGTTTTGCTTATATTGGAAGTCTAATTTTTTTCAGCTTCAGTTGATGTCGTTGGTGATTCATTATTGATTATTTTTTTTTCAATACCCTAGTTCCAGTATCCGAAGAATCAATAAGTGTCTCAGTCAAGGTTTATGAAAAGCCGTTATTTTCACCAAATAACTTTTTCCTTATTGAAAGATTTGCAATAGAATCATGAACAGAAAAAATCTAGTACCTATTTAAGCGTCTAAGTAACTGTTAACCGCCGTTATTGCCGAATTAAATGTACGTGACACCAGCTTCTTTATTATTATCATCCGATTACTAAAATTATTCGAGATTTACGTTCATTCACTCTCGTTCAAAAAATGACCCATTTTAGTTCAAGCAATTAACGATAGACCCCTCTTTCTAAAAGAAGTTCACTACTAAAAGAACGATCTGAGACAGAACTCTTTTGAGCATATGGAACCATTTTCTATTTGAAATGGTTTTTCAAATTATCTATAACCTTTAACGGTTCAGTAAGCGGCGAACAAAAAGTTGAAAAGTTTGCCATCTTCTCCAAAATAATAAATAGATCATTATCACAACTTTTCTTTTAGAAAGTTCCGTTTGCTTCTGCTCAGCTTCAAAATCACTGCGATAACTCTCGGAAACCAAACACTACTAGCTATCTAAACAAGTCATCCCTGGCTTTTTGGTTACGCACGCTGCTCCAACTCCAGATTTCATGCAAATTAATATCTTATTTCAAAAACGTCGTCTTCATCCTCAATCACACCCATCCTAATCGTTCTTCGCATCTGGATATCCTACATGGACAATTACCAACCAACTTGTACCCATCAACAGACAACACAATCCTAATGAATAATTCATCCAAATATTCTTTCAAATATTTTGCTTAATTCAAAGGAAAGATTTGGAGTTGATAGCATCAACTATGAACACACAACAAATGAATACTTCACATTAAACATTCTTTCAAATATTTTGTTCAATTCAAAGGAAGGATTTGGAGTTGATTACATCAACTATGAATACACGACAAATGAATAATTCTCCAAAAGATTCTTTCCAATATTTTGCTGAATTCAAAGCGAAGATTTCGAGTTGATTACATCAACTGTGAACACACGACAAATGAATAATTCTCCGAAAGATTCTTTCAAATATTTTGCTGAATTCAAAGGAAAGATTTGGAGTTCATTACATTAACTATGAACACCCGACAAATGAATAATTCTCCAAAAGATTCTTTCAAATCTTTTGCTCAATTCAAAGCAACGATTTGGAGTTGATTACATCAACTCTGAACACACGACAAATGAATAATTCATCCAAAGATTCTTTCAAATATTTTGCTGAATTCAAAGGAAAGATTTGGAGTTCATTACATTAACCATGCACACACAACAAATGAATACATCTCATTAAAGATTCTTTCAAATATTTTGCTCAATTGAAAGCAAACATTTGGACTTGATTACATCAACTATGAACACACAACAAATGCATAACTCTCCAAACGATTCTTTCCAATATTTTGCTGAATTCAAAGCAAAGAATTGGAGTTGATTACATCAACTATGAAAACACGACAAATGAATAATTCTCCAAAAGATTCTTTCAAATATTTTGCTCAGATCAAAGCAAACATTTGGAGTTGATTACATCAACTATGAATACCCGACAAATGAATAATTCTCCAAAAGATTCTTTCAAATATTTTGCTCACTTCAAAGCAAACATTTGGAGTTGTTTACATCAACTATGAATACACGACAAATGAATAATTCTCATAAAAGATTCTTTCAAATATTTTGCTGAACTCAAAGCAAAGATTTCGAGTTGATTACATCAACTATGAACACACGACACATAAATAATTCTCAATAAAGATTCTTTCAAATATTTTGCTCAATTCAAAGCAAAGATTTCGAGTTGATTACATCAACTATGAACATACGACAAATGAATAATTCTCCAAAAGATTCTTTCAAATATTTTGCACAATTCAAAGCAAAGATTTGGAGTTGATTACATCAAATATGAACACACGACAAATGAATAATTCTAAATAAAGATTCGTTCAAATATTTTGCTCAATTCAAAGCCAAGATTTGGAGTTGAGTACATCAACTATGAACACACGACAAATGACTAATTCATCCAAAGATTCTTTGAAATATTTTGCTCAATTCAGACCAAAGATTTGGAGTTGATTACATCAACTGTGAACACACGACAAATGAATAATTCTCAAAAAAGATTCTTTCAAATATTTTGCACAATTCAGACCAAAGATTTGGAGTTGATTACATCAACTATGAAAACACGACAAATAAATAATTCTCAATAAAGATTCTTTCAAATATTTTGCTCAATTCAAAGCAAAGATTTGGAGTTGATTGCATTAACTATGAACAACCAACAAATGAATACTTCTCATTAAAGATTCTTTCAAATATTTTGCTCAATTCAAAGCAAACATTTGAAGTTGACTACATCAACTATGAACACACGACAAATGAATAATTCTCAAAAAAGATTCTTTCAAATATTTTGCTCAATTCAGACCAAAGATTTGGAGTTGATAACATCAACTATGAACACACGACAAATGAATAATTCCCCGAAAGATTCTTTCAAATATTTTGCTCAATTCAAAGGAAAGATTTCGAGTTGATTACATCAACTATGAACACACGACGCATAAATAATTCTCAATAAAGATTCTTTCAAATATTTTGCTCAATTCAAAGCAAAGATTTCGAGTTGATCACATCAACTATGACCTCACGACAAATGAGTAATACTCCAAAAGATTGTTTCAAATATTTTGTTCAATTGAAAGCAAAGGTTTGGAGTTGATTGCATCAACTATGAACAGACGACAAGTGAATAATTTTTTTAAAAATTCTTTCAAATATTTTGCTCAATTCAAATCAAACGTTTGGAGTTGATTACATCAACTATGACCTCACGACAAATGAGTAATACTCCAAAGGATTCTTCGAAATATTTTGTTCAATTGAAAGCAAAGGTTTGGAGTTGATTACATGAACTATGAACACACAACAAATGAATACTTCTCATTAAAGAGTCTTTCAAATATTTTGCTCAATTCAAAGCAAAGATTTGGAGTTGATAACATCAACTATGAACACACGACAAATGAATAATTCTCCGAAAGATTCTTTCAAATATTCTGCTCATTTCAATGCAAAGATGTGGAGTTGATTACATCATCTATGAACACATGACAAATGAGTAATTTTTCCAAAGATGCTTTCAAATATTGTGCTCAATTCAATGCA